CATTGTTCAAGTCTTTATCCGGTGTGTCCGTTATTATTTTCTCTCGACGACGGCGTATTCTTAGATAATAGACCCAGCCATCTTCTTTTGATCCTATTGAATATTGATGAAAGAGTTCGGCTAAGCGAGGTTAATGCCAGCTCGGCGGTTTAGCTCGGCTATACCATTTATTATCTGGATTAAACCAACTCTTAATACTCTTCAGCCGAAGTAAGGATATCGGCTAAAGAGTGGTTGGCTGGAAAAACCAACACTTATTGTTCTTTAGCCCAGATGAGAATCAAGGCTAAAGAGGTTGGCAGGTATGACTGGGGTAAAGTATCTCGGTCGGGAAATATTGTGTTTCATTCAAATTGTAGTAAGAAAGCAAGCACAAACAGGAAAGTAAAACCAAGATAACAGTTGGGGCAAAAGCAGACGTCATTGAAAAATTCAAAAGCAAGTACAAAGGGTGGGGCCTCAGCCTGGTTACAATTTGTTTCCAAAAAAAAGAAAAAACAAAGTCAGTTAAATAGATTGTCAAGATCGGCATCAAGATCAACTCGAAGTCCGGTTTCAGCATTTTATTCAAAAATGTTTGGGAGCACGGTTTCAGTAAGCAGCTCATCAGTCAGGTTCTCCACCACCCTACGATCCCTACTCTCATCTCAACCACTCATAATGTGAGGTCCACACATACAACAAGGGCCAAGATTAAATTCGGGGTCATGAAATTCCTAAAAAAAGGGATCCCAAACATTTTTGAATAAAATTATCTTTATAAAATTTTGTTTTACATTAAAAGGATCATATTGAGTCATGTCATTGTGAATAAAAATTTAATAGAATGATGTTAGAGATCCTAAATAATTTATCAAATTTTTTATCAAACTTTTTATATGAGTGTGGAATCTACACACATATATAAATTTGTGTGGATCTTACACCTATATAAAAAGTTTAATAAAAAATTTAATAGATTATTTAGATCCATAACATTTTCCAAATTTTATATGAACACAAATCGGGGAAGTCAATTAGTACATGTGAAGCTAGTACACGTGATGCTTCCACTTACATGGTTATTGACTGGGACAATAGGGTCAATTTCTTTAATGTTGGTATTTTGGCAAGATGGGTCAATTGATAATGGTGATTCTACTTATACTATTATTTTATCTCTTTATACTTTTCATATGAGTTTTTTTTTCTCTCAATTTTATTTACTTGTGAAATTATTTTTAAGGACAAGACATTAAAATTAAATATATTTTATTATCTCCTTACACCCTTTGGTCTTCAATTCCTACTCTTTTTTCTTTTTTAATTTTTCTTCTCTCTCACACATCTCTTTTCAAAAAATATGAATCATAGTATTTTGGATCGCCACCACAACAATCGTAACTGCCGCAGCAACAATACGCACAACGGCATTCATGACATCATTCGCTTTAGTCTTGCCGTAGTTGAATTCTCGGTTCCCGTGCTTATCTTCAGTGTTTCCTGTGAAGTACCGGATGAGCAAAACTACGAGAACAAGGAAAGCCACCAGTAAACCGACCTTTCCGATATAAGATGTCAGTTTGTTAAGCCGAGCTTGTAATGGTGTTTGCTCATCTGAGTCACGGCTTATCGAGCTCATCATTACACCCCATGCTGTATTCAAGCCTACCGAAGTAACAAGCATGTGACCGTACCCATCTGTCACCTTGGTACCGGAGAGCAAGAATGGATTATCGGTTTCATTTACTTCGACGTAATCACTCTCCCCTGTCATGCTTGATTCATCCACTTTCAATGAGTGTCCATCCAAGAACAACCCGTCTGCCGGAACTTGATCACCAATCTTTAGACACACAATGTCACCCACTACGACTTCAAAAATCGATATGGGTTGTCTGTGGCCTTTTCTCACCACTCCCACTTTCATCAGGTTACTGCTCTCATCGGAAAGCTTGTCAAACTGTCTGCTCTGCTTGAAGTTACTGATGGCAGAAACCACCACGACTAGAATGACAGCAACGATAATGCTCCCCCCATCGTACCACCCTTCTGTGGGACCGTGCTGTTTGATTCCGAACCCGAGAGAGAACACCGCACATACCAGAAGTATAATGATGGTGGTGTCTTTGAATGCTTCAAAGACAAAACTGAGAAAGCTCTTTGCTGGTGGTTTCTCGTACGTGTTCGAACCAAACACATCGATTCTGTGCTTAATATCACTCTCCTTGGCAGTGATACCAACATTCATGTCGGTTTCAAGAATTGCCGCAACCTCTTTTACCCCTCCATATTGACAGAGACTGTTAAAGTTCTTCTCTCTCACCATCTCGGAGAGTGCTTTCTGATCAATATCAAATAAGCATACGTGATCGTGATTGTCATCAACATCATCAATGGCTTGAATATCAATTGCAACGTAAGATGGGCTGGGCGAGAACCTCGGAAGGAATTGGGTGTTCTTTCCATTGGCAATGACTTTCTTGGCCAAAGAAACAACAAAATAGATGACTCTGAAGGTCTTTCGCAATCGCTTGTTGGTTTTTTGAACTGAGTGAGCTTTGTCGAGAAACATGATGGTATCGCTGGATTTTCGAGATTGCAGAGGCATGGTTGATGAAGAAGAAGAAGAAGCTATGAAACTATAATCTAAGCTGTAGAGATGATTTTATAGTATAGTAACGGAAACTTGGGACTGAGGTAGCTTGCTGTGATAGACCTGGAACGCGGAGCGTTAGTTTTATGAGGAAGTTCACTGTAATTTCCTTTCCTCGGCATAATTGAAGAGTTGTTGGCAGTGAAATTGTGTGGAAACAGCTCATGAGGTGGCAATGTCAATTTTGTAAACAAAATTCAATTGTTATTGAGACTTCACAAACATATAACCCCTACGATCCCTACTCTCATCTCAACCACTCATAATGTGAGGTCCACACATACAACAAGGGCCAAGATTAAATTCGGGGTCATGAAATTCCTAAAAAAAGGGATCCCAAACATTTTTGAATAAAATTATCTTTATAAAATTTTGTTTTACATTAAAAGGATCATATTGAGTCATGTCATTGTGAATAAAAATTTAATAGAATGATGTTAGAGATCCTAAATAATTTATCAAATTTTTTATCAAACTTTTTATATGAGTGTGGAATCTACACACATATATAAATTTGTGTGGATCTTACACCTATATAAAAAGTTTAATAAAAAATTTAATAGATTATTTAGATCCATAACATTTTCCAAATTTTATATGAACACAAATCGGGGAAGTCAATTAGTACATGTGAAGCTAGTACACGTGATGCTTCCACTTACATGGTTATTGACTGGGACAATAGGGTCAATTTCTTTAATGTTGGTATTTTGGCAAGATGGGTCAATTGATAATGGTGATTCTACTTATACTATTATTTTATCTCTTTATACTTTTCATATGAGTTTTTTTTTCTCTCAATTTTATTTACTTGTGAAATTATTTTTAAGGACAAGACATTAAAATTAAATATATTTTATTATCTCCTTACACCCTTTGGTCTTCAATTCCTACTCTTTTTTCTTTTTTAATTTTTCTTCTCTCTCACACATCTCTTTTCAAAAAATATGAATCATAGTATTTTGATCATTAAAAAAAATAATGGATGAAGAAACGGTAGTGAAGAAGCATAAAAAAAGTGAAATTATGAGTTTTTTTTTTATTATTTATTTGGTAGATTTTTGTTTCGTTTTTCAAAACTGGTGTTCGACTTTCATTCGGTGGTTCGAAATTGAACAAAATAAAGTAGTCCGGCATCATATTGCCGAACAAAAAATATAAATCTGGTAATCAACTGCCAAATAAAGGATACATTTCTGGTAACCCCAAACCGAATTTTTTTAATTTGTTCGACTTCTTATTATCATGTATTTTTAGTTTCATTTTTTTATTTATTTTATTTTTTTTGCCTGGAAGGATTATACTTATACTCATTGCAACAACACAAGTACTGCAATATTAGTAGACTCTAGTCATGAATTTATTATAGATGAGATTTGTTTAAAAAAATTTATGAATACAATTTTTTCTTATTTTAATTTGTATTGAGTTTTATTAATAAGTTGACGTATAAATATATTTATTATCTTTAGATTTTTAAGTAGTCGTGAAACATTAATTAAATGGGCTTTTGACGTTGGGAGAGAAGACTGGATTTGTCATTGTTATAAACACATCAGATACGGGAGGTAATGGCAGAAAACCAAGATTTACACTTGCTTGTGAAAGAAGTGGTTACTATAGAGACAGCAGGAAGATCAATAGGAAACGATTGAGGTTGACAGGTTCTAAGAAATGTGGATGTTTATTTCTATTAAGGGGGGAAAAATTGCCTACAAATTATCAAGACGAATTATGATAAAATGTTTGATTGATGGATGCAAACAATGAAAGATTTTATGGATACTTTATGGATATTCGTACACTTGATGCTTTTATGAATAATTTTATGGATACTTTTTATGTATGGTTTTATGGATGCGTGTTTGATTCATGAATTTTTTTATGGATACTTCAAAGAAAAAGTAAATCTTTCAATGTACAGCAACGGGGGCCTAGACAACTCTATTATAATTTAGCAACATGACACTAGAGTAATCTCATTTGTATAACAATGTATCACTGAATAAGCACTTCACAAGTGGCCTAAATTAATTTCTTGTTATTATTTAATTGGACAGCAACATAATGCTGGAAAAAAAAGTATTTGTCCGATTACATGACATTGAAGTAATTCAAATTAATTAGTGTTGTATTACTGAATAGGCCCACCACAAATTAAAAAATCATTGTTTGGAAGAAAGTGGCTCTGTAAATGTATAGTAACAAAATGCTAGAAAGATCTATTTTTTCCGACAGCATAACGCTGGAATAATGTAAATTATTTAACACCACATTGCCAAAATTAGTGGTGTAAAGAGATGAAATAGTTAATTTATGATTAGTTTTGATAATATACTGGGGATGTAATGAAAATTATATTTTTTTTTAGTGATATAATAAGATGGAGGGTATAAGAAGGTTAAATAGTGGTGTAAGTAAAATCACCCATTGATAATTGGTGTGGAATATTGCTCCAAAAACTAAAATTCCTAAAAAAAGGGATCCCAAACATTTTTGAATAAAATTATCTTTATAAAATTTTGTTTTACATTAAAAGGATCATATTGAGTCCTGTCATTGTGAATAAAAATTTAATAGAATGATGTTAGAGATCCTAAATAATTTATCAAATTTTTTATCAAACTTTTTATATGAGTGTGAAATCTACACACATATATAAATTTGTGTGGATCTTACACCTATATAAAAAGTTTAATAAAAAATTTAATAGATTATTTAGATCCATAACATTTTCCAAATTTTATATGAACACAAATCGGGGAAGTCAAATAGTACATGTGAAGCTAGTACACGTGATGCTTCCACTTACATGGTTATTGACTTGGACAATAGGGTCAATTTCTTTAATGTTGGTATTTTGGCAAGATGGGTCAATTGATAATGGTGATTCTACTTATACTATTATTTTATCTCTTTATACTTTTCATATGAGTTTTTTTTTCTCTCAATTTTATTTACTTGTGAAATTATTTTTAAGGACAAGACATTAAAATTAAATATATTTTATTATCTCCTTACACCCTTTGGTCTTCAATTCCTACTCTTTTTCTTTTTTAATTTTTCTTCTCTCTCACACATCTCTTTTCAAAAAATATGAATCATAGTATTTTGATCATTAAAAAAAATAATGGATGAAGAAACGATAGTGAAGAAGCATAAAAAAAGTGAAATTATGAGTTTTTTTTTCATTTTTTTTTAATTTAGCTTTAATTGGTGCTATTACCACCATTATACGTATACATTAATTTATTCCTAACTCAATTGATTTGCAAAAATGCTAGTAATATATTTGCCCTAGTGTAAGGATATATGCACTTTGTTCTATAGTGTGAAAAGTCTAAAGTTTAGAATAAAGTGAAACGCAAATTGAGAAAAGAAAATGAAAAGTAAATTCTTTCCTTGCTCCTCTCAATTTTTATTCAATTCAAATCTATTTAATGGAGTATACCACTTAATACATATTTTATTTAAATTTTTAGCTTATCTTATCCAAAAGAGAAGAAAAGTTGTTTTTGTGTTAAAAAAGTGAAATGACATCCACATACATTCTGTTTTTATTTAACACTCCACTTTTATTTCTAGAGTGTGTATATCATTTATTTTTAAAATGTTTAATTTGAATTATGAATTTATATAATTTGAACAAATTATATTTTATCCCTTTTAACCATGGACTATTTATCACTCTACTCCATCAATTACAAATTGTTATATTTTTTTTCACGAATCTTTTAATTTGTTTCAATTTTAACATTGTGTTAACATTCTATTATGAAAAGAGGACGGAAAAGTGGCATGTGAACAATACATGCCAATTTTATGATTAAAATGGTCATTCAAGAATTGATTTATTTATATATATGTTAAAAGAATAATACTAGGGATCATGAAAACAACATCATGAAATATTTCATGAAGTGTGTGATGTTATCTTATATGTGAAATTTAATGGTGGAGAATCTTTTATGATCATTTTCATGATACCTAATATTACTCGTGTGAAAAATATGTATATATCTTCCCCTCTCCTGTGAAGAAATATGTTAAAGAAAATATATGTACATGCCGCTTTTATTATTAGAGAGCAAAATATATATACATATATATCTTCAATTATATATACGTATAAATAGCTTTTGAAATAACATTTTAGTCATAAAATTGGCATGCATAATATATACATAACATTTTTTCATCATGTTTTTATGATAAAATGTTGAAATTGGAACAAATAAGAAGATTAAAAGAGAAAATGTAATAATTTTTAGTTGAGGGGTATAGTTTAATTTGCCCTATATGAACAAAGAGATAAGGTGAATTTTCAATTTTTCATAGTGTTCCATAATAAAGCAGTGCCATGCACTTTCTTTTCTGTACATTCAACTAAACAATTGAAATTTTGTTCAAATGAAAATAAGAAACAAAAACAGAAAACAAAAACCTCTCTCTCTCTCTCTCTCTCTCTCTCTCTCTCTCATATGAAATGCATGTGTTAGTTGAACTGAAATTTCCAAAACATATACTAGATGACTTGGGTTGAGAGAAGTCATTTCATTTATGATACACATGGGAAGACCCCCCATGCATGAGTGATGACTCCCACCCAGCTCAGTCTTCAAGTTAGAATATGGAATTCTGTGGCTTTTCTCTCCTTATAGTCTTTTTCTATATATATTTATCAGATCAAGAGGTTTGACAGCACATAGTTTGATGACATAGAATTGATGTTGTAATGTTATTGCATGGGGTTGATGATGTATTTCACTTTGTGTCATGTCTTCAATCTTGTTTAGATTATTATTAGCCATTTGCTTACTTAACATATATTGGAATTTTATTAAAAATAAAATTAATTATTTCTATTTAATTTGTTTGACCGTTATTAATATTAATATTGGTTTTAAATATTTCGATTACAAAGATATTATTAAGTTTCATTACTATACTTATGTAATGATTAAATGTTATGTATCAATTCTTATAAGATTTTCACTTATATATATTCTTATGTTTTTCTAAAGATGAAGAACACACAAAAAGACACACAACAGTATATATAAGTATGACATATATTGAGATTCTATTGAAGAGTATAGTTTGATATATCTTTTGTATTTTTGAACAATTATGGTTCGTGACTCGTTCATATCCTCTTAGTAGACGTGAATATCAGATGAGGAAGGCTATGAGCGCTTGGGTTGTATCTTGGAGCCACTGCACTCCGGTTGTACCTTCACTTGGGGAGGAACAGCAGTTTTAAAGCAGTGACTACCTGCCTCTCAA